CAGAGTCTTGCTCTGTTGCCTGGGCTAGAGTGCTGTGGCATCAGCCTAGCTCACAGCAACCTCAAACTCCTGGGCTTAAGTGATCCTCCTGCCTCCGCCTCCCCAGCAGCTGGGACTATAGGCATGCGACACCACACCTGGCTAATTTTTTCTATTTTTAGTTGCCCAGATAATTTCTTTCTATTTTTTTTTTTTGGTATAGACAGGGTCTCACTCCTGCTGAGGCTGGTCTCAAACTCCTGGCCTCAAGCAATTCTTCCACCTTGGCCTCCTGAAGTGCTAGGATTATAGGTGTGAGCCACCATGCCCAGCCTCATTTGTAAAATTATTCACTTGTAAGATTTTATTATTCATTTGTGAAATCAAACGCTTTTAAAGAATATGTGTGAGGTTAATTAAATCAGTTGAATTGAGATGGTCTGGGGAAATAGAAATTGAACTATGGTAAATTAATGAAAGCTTAGATTTAAATATAGAGCTTCTGATTTGTCAGTAGCAAAAATATTAAAGATAAACTTCAGAGCCAATGAAAAGTAGCAGTTGTTAGAGATTAAATAGTAATGATAGTTCTCCAGTCCTCTACAGTCAAAGGTAATTAATATTTCACACACAAAATGTTAGTAAGAGCCAGGTGCCGTGGCTCATACTTGTAATCCCAGCAACTCTAGAGGCTGACGCAGGAGAATTCCTTGAGGCCAGGAGTTCCAGACCAGCCTGGGCAACATGGCGAGACCCCCATACACGACTCTCTCTCTCTCTCTCTCTCTCTCTCTGTCTCTGTCTCTCTCTCTGTATGTATATATGTGTGTGTGTGTGTGCGTGTGTGTGTATGTGTGTGTATTTATAAACAAACAAACAAGCCAGGTGCAGGAGGTTTGCTTGAGCCCAGGAGTTTGAGGCTGCAGTGAGCTATGATTGATTGTGCCACTCGCCACTTCACTGTATCCTGGGTGATGGAGCAAGACCCTGTCAAAGGAAGGGAGGGAGGGAGGGATATTAACATATGATATAAACAGGCTTTCCACAGAGGAATAGGCACCCCAGAGAATAGTTTCCTGATCTCATTTTCTGCCTTCTTCTTGATTCTTATTTTCAAGAAATTACACTACAAACTGCAGTCTACAAGAATAGGACATTTCCTATGATTAACACCCTTTCTTTTCTGTCCAGTTTAACATACCGTTTAGAGAGAGAGGTCTGAAGCTGAGGTGGGGGAACAGAGATGAGAAATGTTGCTTACTGAGTGGGAAAAACATGCTGGAACACAATGCCTTCTTTATCCTTATCGTGCACCAAAAAAGTGAGGGAACTTTGGAGATTGCCTAGCAGGTCTTCTCCTTTAGCCCACCCAAACTGGCACCTACCACCCTAGCTTAAACAGTCAGCGAGAAGGGAGGTTTTAGTGAGGTTTGCTGCTAGTTCGGGCCCAATTAAAGTAAAATTTCTAATTCCTAGGAGCTGTTGTTAAAATCTCTCAGGGAGGTAAGAAGAAGAGAGGAAAATTCCCAGCTAAAAGCAAGAGAGGTGGTTTTCATTTTACTCAGGGACTTGGCTGAGCCATTGGGTCACAGGAGGGATGGGGATAGAGGGACACATACTTTGAGTCTTATTGTGGATAAGGTTGAACCATCATCAGCGCTTGATGGAGATGCAGTGGCAGTGTCTCTAACAGCACTGCCTCCCTTACTGCATTATCAGAAGAGAAAGACAACCTGCGAATAGGCATCCATTATCCCTCTCTACAAAGGGATTAGTGTGGGTTGCAAGAAATTAATGGCTTTTGAGTTACCACAGTGATACTAATGAGTGTGAGGACCAGAGATGTAAAGCAGGTAAAATTGGCTTTTCTCTGCCTCATTGCTCTCCTTTTCTCTTTTGGTTTGCTATTTTAAGATCTAGATTTGCAGCCAAAAAGAAGAAATCATACCCTTTGGCAGTGTGATTTATCTTCTTTAGGGAATGACTCAATTAGTTTATGACTGTCTCCAATGTGTGTCAGCAAAGAGATTGAGAAACATCTCAGAAATTAAAATCTCTACCAGGGAGGACTGCTCCCTCTTGCATGGGTGTCATTTTCATGTCTGATAAAAGTATCAGAAAGTCTCTCAAGTGACAGTCTCCTTTTATTAAAGTACTAAACTGGTATATATTGCAGCTAATATTGATTAAAGATGGCATTACTAGATAAACTTGTGAGACAGAGGGGAAGGAAGAAAGGAGGAAGGGAAGGGAATTATATGTACTATGTGCTGAGCATTGTGTTAGGAGCTTTATTTCTAATTCAACAAGTACTTATTAAGCACGTACTATTCAGCTATTTAAATAAGCTATTATAGTATAGTCTGATAAGAGTCCATGATAGAAGAATAATATAGTAGGGATACCTGTTCTGACCCGGGGCATGTGTGTGCAGGCGAGATGAGGGGCAGGGCTGTGTGAGTCAGGACGGACTCCCTTTCTGGAAGAGGGTGAGTGTACAGTTGCTGGTTGAAGCCGAGGGAAGGAGAATTGCAAGCCAGAGGAACAGCATAAGCCCAGTCGGGCTCAGAAGGAAAACTGCCATCTAAGCAGATACCTAAAAAGTGAGCTAGTCAGGTCAAGCCTGGAGAACTGGACCGAAGGCCCCCGAATGGCCTTGAGGGCCAATGGGGGTGTCTGTGAGCAGCACTTTCTGCTCTCTCTTTTCCATTGACGCTTCCTGTCTTTACCAACCTAGGGAAAGATAAGAGTGTTGGCAGGGAGTTAGGGCAAGTGGCAGAAGGAACATTTTCTTGTGTGTCTGTTACTCTGTACAATGTTACCTAGAAACAAGGAACCCTGGCAGGGTGTGATTGGTTCCTAGACCCGCAGGACATAGCTAGTCACAGTTATTCCAGTATTTCTGTTTTCCGCACAGACCTCTGCATGTCACGTGGACATTGCACACCCCATATTTACTCTTGCCTTTTTAATTCCACCCCAGTTCAGTTTTTTAGACTCAAGCTATTCCCTAAATAAATAAAGTTTTATTGGAACACAACCAAAAAAAAAAAAAAAAGACTTTCCCCAGCTACATCTTGCCAATTAGATACCATCTTGGAATTTTATTACTTCTACTTTGTATGGTTTGAACCAGAAGGCTATCAACCTCTGGTCTGCTTGGTTTCTTGTACCTACCTTCTCATAACTAATTAATACTTTGCCTCTTTTTTTTCTTTCTAGAACACAAACAGACATTCCCAAACATTCTCAAGAAGGGTTACCTGGAGATTAGGAAAGACCACGACAGTTATTGGCAAAGCTGTTACGCAGAACTTTCACCCTACAACCTATACTTTTACAGCCTTGACAACAGTGGGAATCAAAATCTCTATGCCACGTACCAGCTTTCACACTTCCAGAGCATATCTGTTTTGGGCAATCTTGAGGCCAGGATGGTGGATACTGTTCTGTATGACAACACTCAGCTACAGCTTAAGGCAGAGTCACCGTGGGAAGCTTTGGACTGGGGGCAGAAGCTCTGGGAAGTCGTACATGCTGCCGTGCCTGGTTACGTGGGACGGCACGATGAGCTAGCAAACTCACCTGGGCTTGGTCATCATGTTGACTGTACACAGAATCATTGTTTACAGAAGAAATCCAGTGGGCTGCTGCCACCGTCCCCAGTCCTGGATAGCCCCAAACAGTACCAAAACATCCTCAAATCAGGGACTCTCTACAGGCTGACTGTCCAAAACAACTGGAAGGCATTTTCATTTGTGCTGAGCAGGGCCTACCTTATGGCTTTTCAGCCTGGCAAGCTAGATGAGGATCCACTGTTGAGCTACAATGTGGACGTGTGTCTAGCTGTCCAGATGGACAACCTGGATGGCTGTGACTCTTGCTTTCAAGTCATTTTCCCCCAAGATGTCCTCCGTCTCCGAGCTGAGACCCGGCAGAGGGCTCAGGAATGGATGGAGGCTCTGAAAACAGCTGCCAATGCGGCGAGGAGTTCAGATCAAAACCTGCAAGTGACATTGAGGAACAAACCCAAGGAGCAGATGGGTGGGCATGAACTCAGGAAGAACAAACGCCAGTCCGTGACCACTAGCTTCCTGAGCATTCTGACGACTTTGTCTTTGGAACGAGGACTCACTGCTCAGAGTTTCAAATGTGCAGGTATGAGACAAATTTTCAGCCTAAAGTTCATGAAAGAACAATCCTGAATCCCACAATTGGAATTCACTTTAAAAATCCCCTCAATAGGCTAGTCACAGCTTCCTCCTGTTATAAAAAGCATCTTTCCTCCAAAGAGTTTGCTATATTAAAACATCTGTCCATCCTCATACCATGCTGGTGAAGTAAATAGAAGCAGCTATGATGTACCCCATTAAGTCAAAATGCCTTGGCCGGAGCCTAACCAGGCTAGAATTTAGGCTTTCTGAGTCAGCTGTGGTTCCATTCACTCTGCCTTTTTGAATTAAAGGTCACTAAATATGGATGTCACTTATTATCTCATAAGAGGCATTCGGGCCCAAAGCTGACTACTAACACCCCTTAGGCAAGGAAAATGTCTGTAGTCAGTAACTGTCATTGATCTTGACCTCGTCAAATCCTGTTAAGTTGGAATATAGAGAATCAGCCTTGACAGAAAATGTAGAGGTGGCTAAAAGTACAGTAGGTGATGATTCAGCAGATGACTGCTGAGTCATGATGGGTCTCTGCCTCACCATGGGGAAGCCTGGGGCTTCTGGAACTGCTACGTAAGGATGAGACACAAAGTAGAGTTCGAGGTCAATAATCTTATTTCTTAAAACCTTTTTACTACTTCTCTCCTCTGCTCCCCATTCTTCCCACCTTCCTTCCCCAAGACAATAAAATTTAAAAAGTTTTTTAAAAACCTCACTAAACTATATCTATATATCTACTATAAACTAAATTGAATTATTTCCTTTTCATTAAACCCCACAATTTGTAAAAATGAACTTATATGAGAATAGCTTCAATTGGAAGGCTGCTTTGGGAGTTTTTAATTCAAGTCTATTCGATTTAAGTATGTTGTTTAAAAATGAACAAGAAGCTCACCACCAGCCAAAACCAAACTTTAAATTTTGTCCTTGTTCCTGCATTGAAAAAGCCAAACAGTGGTGGCACAATGAAAACTCATGTTTTGAATTTATGTTAGTTATGATGATGGCCTCTTCTATTGAAAAACAATTTACCTAAAGGGGGAATTAAGTGAGTCATTACAGCTTTGACCCAAAGGCTTCTCAGAGACTACGGACCAGAAACTTATAGGATGGGACTGGAGACCAGAAACGCCAAGCCGGTTAAGAAGCCACACTACGTTATATGCATATATCAGCAGGTGTGAAAGCCCTTGTGTTAAGTCAGCCCAGCTACTTTTGGAAAATGGTTTTGAAATAAGGAGATACTAGTTTTAGCATAGTTGTTTTTTTGTTTTTGTTTTTCAAAAGAAACTATTGACATTTCAGTGATTTTTACGAGCACATATATTTCAAAGTCCAGGCATTCAACAGTAATTTACTAAGTGCCTACTCTGTGGATATCCTGGAATTATGATACACTTTTGTGGCTTTAGATCGCTGATAGGGTCATCAAATCTGTTGTAGAACAGCTCAGGTTGGTTCTCAAGGTAGAGACTAGAGTAGCTGAATCAAGAAACTTTGTAGTAAAAGAGGAAAAAAGAGCCTCAGGTGTTACATAAGAGTTGTCACCTAATTCACCTTCCTCTCAGAAGTTTGCTTCCTAATGGCGTGTGCATTGCCCATGTTCTGTACTGCAGTAGTAGCATTCATAGCACTCAGAGGACGGAGGAATGTAAGGTAGAGGGTTCCATTCAGCAAGCCCACTGCATCCAGTAGTTAGAGAAATGAAAACGGAAAAAAGACAAAGAAAAGTGAGTAAAAGAGTTAGGGAGAAGGAGGCCACCTAGAAAAGAAGAGGAAAAGTATTATATAATGCACAGGAATAGAACTTTCTGACAGTTGCTTTAGGTTCCATGTGATAGGATGCTTCCATTTGCTGTCTAAATTTCATACTTCCTGCATTTGGCTGGTTGGAGAATAGTTTGGGGAACGGTAGTAGGAAATCCAGGGAACAGGGGTAACACAATCTAAAACTCATTTTCTCTGCTCATACTTTGGTTTAGAGTTCTAATGAATGGGGCAGAGGTGGGTTTCTAATTTAGGATGGAGAGAAGTCAGTCCTAATTTGTATAGTGTAGCACATTCCAAAGTAAAAAAAAAAAAAATTGATTTCATTTAAATGCCCCTTCTTCCATCAGAAAGTGCTAACTTTAGTTGCTCTGTAGTTTACCAAGTTGTTTTTCATTCTTAATATCCGCACTTGGATATTGGTTTTCTACCTCAGATAAGAATACTTCATCTCCTGTAGGGGGCAGAGTCTCAAAAGAAAAAGGCAAAAACTTGTTAAGCAAACCTCTGAATGTTTTTCAACTTACTTGGGAGTCTGTTCATTATATCAAAGATTATTATAGCAGATGAACTTTAAAAATTGATCTATGTGTCTCACAAACACAGTTAATCTAAACCAGCTGCTTCTTCCTTTTGTACCTATATCCTCTAATTTGGCATCCTCGTAAAAACACACATTCAGTGAAAAAGCTGGTTGCAGAGCATGTTTACCTTCCAAAATGCCAAAAAGTCCAGCACATTGTTTTTAGTGAGTTCGGGCTTTATGTATTATTAAAGAGAAGCTAATTCACAGTGTTTCATAGTTTTAGTGTGCGTCTTTAGACTGTAAGTTTTTATGTCTTAGTCCTCCCCCCTTTAAATATTTTGGATGAATAAACTTTAAAAGGGGAAGATTGTACGGAGTAGCTCTTTATTATGATGTCATTTACTTGCTATTCCAGGGGAGCCACAAATATTGGCTTTTAAATCTATAAAATAGTGCAATTGAGCAATTTCATTAAATTCTTTCTGCAAGTGAAGAATTTTCTATATCCTTCTTCAAAACTTAAACAGCCCCTGCAGCAAAAAATGGACCATGACTATCCAAAAATGCCTGAGGTTATGGTTTGAAAATATATACTGATACATAACTGTATATTTCTTAAACATGTGCTTGGACTTTTGATCGTTGTAATCATATGTGATTGTTCCATGGCCTCCTCTCTGGCTCCGTGGTTGCCCCAAGCTTAGGAAGCCCCAGCAACTGTGGTCTTCTTGCTGTTCCTGGAACCTGTCATGGTCATGCCAGCCTCCAGGGTCTTTATACTTACTGAGCCTACTTCCTGACACTTGAAAATAAAGTTCATTCATTCATGCTGTCATTTATCGTGTGCACCTAGATGAGTCAATGCTACAAGAAAACCGATGTGGTCCTTGCCCTCACGAAGCTTGTAGTCTGCTAGGGAAGACAAGACATTAATCAAATAAACGCATCAATGAATGCCGAATGCAGCTGTGACAAGAGCTACAGAAGTGAGGCCCACGCATCCGATTAGAGAACTATTAGAGATGGTGCCAGGTAGAATATGAAATTGCAGATTTTTCAATCATTTTTGAACTGCAAAATAAAAAGGCAGTTGATAAAGTTGAACTTAATGTTTGACCTTGAAGTCATAGAAGATTCTTGGGCAGAGAAGCACATGATGGGAATTACTTAAGAAGTTAATTTGGTGGTGCTTTGGTACAGCTTTTTAGGAACACCTCTGTAACAGAAAATGAGGTGTGCTTTTTTAGTGAAATTTCTGGTTGGAGTTTAAAATTATGTTTGGCAATGGGGAATCCGTGGTGTTAAGAAATGACTATGCAGCTTATTAAAATATTTATTAAGTATGTACCTGTAAGTGGTTCTAAGTTAGGTTATTCACAAAATGCCATATAAATTAGATTAGAAAGCAGCAGCAGGTCTGTTTTCATTAGGAATTTGACATGTGCGCCTACCTATTTACACTTGAGAGATACGTGGTTTTCTTGGCACTAGCACATAAGAGATATTTTTCTGTAATTTCCCAGCAATCAAGAAACCTAGCAATTGAGTACTATACTCAAAGAGTCCAGGGACTTGTTTATAGGTGTGACAGGAGATGCAAAGCTCACCTTTGAAAGTGTTCCTTGTGTGACTGTTTTGTAATCTGGAGATGAAATTGGATGGCCCACTGTGGGGCAGTGTTCCTGATTCTGAACTGAAGTTGAGCATGTTCACAGAAGAGACAGCAAGAAAAACAGTAGCCTAGGGGATCCCCTACACCATTTTCACACTGTCAGTTTTTATGGTTTTACTCTTTTGGCTGCTGTTTAACCTCTTGGGACTGCTGTTGGTAATTACATCTCTCTGGCATTAAGAGCTTTTTGCTTTCCTTTTTTTCCCTCCAGCCCTTGGGAGGGGTAAACCCAAGGAGAGGGGAGAAGTTTTGCTGTGAATTCTTCAGCCATTTAGTGCAAATTCCTGTAATTACCGGCATTGTGTCTTCCCTGAATGACACATAATACAGCAGAAGCCATTCCTAATTGAGACCTTACAGGAGGTACAAATCCCCTCTTTGTTCAGCCTGACAAATTAGTGCCAGAAAGTGGCAGGGTCCGAGTGGGAATCAAAGGCAAGAAACACAAAGATGGAACTTAAGGCTACAGTAATAACCCTCTCTTGTCCTGAAGGGAAAAAAGTAATGACCAATGAAAAATGAAGTTTTTTTTGTTATAAATTCCCTTGACATGACAGCACCTCGGGGCTGCTCTATTTATTTAGCAAAAGTGATTAAATAGTAATACTACAGGGCTGCCCATTGTTTCCCCGGGTGCCCCCACCTCACACACCCCTGCTGCCTGGGCTAATTGATTGACAATGAACCTCTGATAAAGAAGTATGTTGTTAGGACCTGGGGGGGGGCATTTTCTCCCTCTTTGTGTGTCTGAGAGAGAGAGAGAATTTCATTTTTGTTTGAATTGCACTCCAGTTTTTCTTTGCCCCACCCCACCCCCTCTTCTCTCCCTCGCCTTATTTTCCCCCTTGCTTTTCCCCCCCAGAGCTTTTCAGCAGTTGCTTCCAGCTAGCATTCACAAACAGGTAGAGGGGAATTAGAATTGTAGTGCAGACTTTTGACAAGTTTATCTCCGGAGCTAACTTCCTCCCTCTTCCCTGCTCCCTGTGAGGCAGAACAGCCGTGTGAGAAGAGAGAAAATGGGAGA